GGGAACATTGGGAAAAGGAATTCGGCCCTTTCGGGGAAGTGGTTGTGGAGGTTTCCTTTGGAGCAGGAGAAGCTATGGGCTAGAATAGTGGCAAGCATACATGGGTTAGAGCAAAATGGATGGGACGCTAGAATCAGAGCAAGGACCACAAGCACTTCACCTTGGAAAGCCATTCATGATCTGCTTCCAGTTTTCTCCCCTCTTGTCAAGTATGATTTGAATTAAGGTAATTCCATAAAATTTTGGGAACAAATTTGGGTGGGGGATGCTCCTCTTAAGGACCAGTTTCCTTCTTTGTATGCTGTTTTTGATTTTAAATATGAGCCAATTTCTTCTTTCATCACTCATTCCTCTTCCAGTTCGGGGTTTGGGTGGAACCTGGGTCTGAGAAGGGCCGTGAGGGATTCAGACCTTGATAGTATTTTGAGCCTCGAACTTCTTGATAATGTTTTCTTAGAGCCTTCTAAGGTGGACTCTAGAATTTGGACCCCTACCCCCACGGGCTCTTTTTCTTGTGCTTCCTTCTTCAAAGTCCTTTGCCAGTCCACCAGTCCTACAACCTCCCCTTTCCCGATTAAGGAGGTTTGGTGCAGACCAATTCCTCCTAGGGTTGGTGGTTTTTGTTGAGAAGCCTATTTGGAAAGATTCAACACTGGGGATTTGCTCCAAAAGAAGAGACCCAATACTTGCAGGAATTGGTGTGTTCTTTGCAAAGCGGATGGGGAGACTAGTGTTCACTTACTGGTGTCTTGCCAATTTGCAATGTCAATTTGGGAATGGGCTTTTTCTCTCTTTGGGTGTAGGTGGAACCCTCCATCAGACTTGCAGAGCCTTTTTTCCCCTTCTTTTTTCAGGTGGCACATGAAAAGGAGGACTATGTGGAGAGGACTGAGGGTTGTAGTATGTTGGTCATTATGGGAAGAAAGAAATTCTAGGATCTTCTCAGAAAAGGAGAGAGGGGCTGAAGAATTGAGGGTCGTGATCCATATAAGGACTGTACAATGGCTAAAATCACTAGAGCTATTTACAGACTACACAGTGGATGACATGTTGAGAAAGTGGGATGAGATTGCAAATTGCACACAGATCAAACCATTAATAAGGGTGTCTTGAACTCCCCCACCTGCTGGCTTCAAATTAAATTTTGATGGGAGTTGTAGGGGGAATCCTGGACAATCAGGGATTGAAAGTGTTTTTAGGGATGAGAACAGGATCATCTCTGCCCTGTTCTCAGGCCCAATTGGTGTGGGGGATTCTCTTAGAGATGAGATCTTGGCAGTTATGGAAGGAGTTTAGAAAGCCAAGGAGATGAGTGTTAGAAAACTCTTAATTGAAGGGGACTTGGAGGTGGTGATAGGGTGGCTGATTAAAGACAACTACGGCTTATGGAATTATAAAAATGAGAAGAGGAAATTCAGATGGCTGGTGTGGGGGATGGAAATCAGGATGAGTTGGGTTAAGAGATCAGCTAATTCTTTAGCTGATGGGTTAACTAAGCAAGGGATAGAAATGGAAGCAATGTTTTGGGCTAAGTTGTAATTTAACTGTTTTCTTTTTCCTTTTCCCTTTTTGGAGGGTTTAAGTTGTATTTGGAAGATAAGAGTGTTTGTCTTCCTTCCCGTAATTAGTATGATGTTTCAATGAATATAATGAATTTGTTATTGATAAAAAAAGAAACCTGATATAGATTCTTCCCGATGGGTGCAGGAGAATTACATTGTAATGTCCTGGCTGTGTAATTCTATGTTACCTCATATTGGAAAAAGTTTCCTATGGGCTAATACTGCTAAGGAGATTTGGGATGGAGTGGTTGAAACCTACTCTCAGAAGCAAAATGTAGCCAGAGCCTATCAGTTAAGGAATCAGGTGATTAGTATAAAATAGGGAGAAAAACCCCTTGCCATGTATTTTTCCATGCTAAAAACCCTTTGGCAGGAAATAGATCACTTAGAAACTGTGGTATGGGAAAGTGTAAATGATGCAGCAACTTATCAAAAACTGGTATAGAAAAACAGGGTAATACAAATGTGGCCATTACAGGAGACTCTTCGGCCCCTCTTTCCCAAACTAATTGGGAATCCATTACAGTAGCAGTAATGAGAACAGAATTGAAAAGGTTTGAACAACTTATGAGTAAGAAAGTTACAACTAGCTCTACCCTTCCAGATGGACAGCAGAGTGCAGGAGCCAACTACACTTCTTTTACACATACAGGTAGTTCATATGCAACTGCAAATCTTGCATCCACTTCAGGTAAGGAGGGACCTCCCTGGATTATAGACTTAGGAGCATCTTAGCACATGACTAATGTCCCTACCCTTTTCAGTTCCTATCAGTTGTGCTCTGGTAAAGACAGAATCTCTACAACAAATGGTTCACATATCCCCATTGCTGGGAAGGGGACAGTTAGAGTGACAAATGATATTACTTTATCTTCTGTCTTACATGTCCCTAGACTTCATACCAACCTACTTTCTGTTAGTTCTTTGACAAAAAATTTGAATTGTTCAATGACTTTTCTTCCTGGTAATTGTGTTTTGTAGGATCTGGAGTCAAAGAAAATGATTGGGAGTGGTCGTGAGGTGAATGGAGTCTACCTTTTGGATGAGATTCCAAGATATCTGAGCCATCATGTTAGTAGCTGCAGTAGTAGTGGGTTAGAGTCAGTGAGCCAGATTATGCTTTGGCACACTCGCTTGGGACATCTTTCTTTTAGTTCATTGAAATTTCTTTTCCCAAAGTTATTTGAGTCTGTTCAGTTATCCACCTTAGAGTGTGAAAGTTGTCAGTTAGGCAAGCATTGTAAACATTCTTTTAAACCAAGTAATAAAAGAAATACTTTTGCTTTTAATATTGTTCACACTAATGTATGAGGGCCATATCATATTCCTTCCGTGGGAGGATACAGTAATTTTCTCTTGTTATTGGATGATTATACACGGTATTCTTGGATATATTTAATGAGATCACGAGATGAGGTTCCTAACTTAGTATAACAGTTCCACCAGATGGTTCTCACACAATTTGGAGTGAGAACTAAGGCCTTTAGATTAGATAATGCCAGAGAGTATTTTGATAAAGGACTTGACCACATATTTCTTGGAGCATGGTATAATTCATCAGAGCAGTTGTACATATTCACCGCAACAAAATGGAGTAACTGAGAGGAAAAATAGACACATTGTAGAGGTGGCAAGAAGTCTTATGGTGTGTGCTTCAATTCCTGTGCTTTTTTGGGGAGATGCAGTTCTTACAACCATGCATTTGATTAACTGTGTTCCTTCACGGACTTTGGGGTTTAAGGTGCCATTTAGCCTTCTTTTTCCAGATGGAGAGATATTTCACATACCTCTGAGGGTTTTTGGTTGTGTTTCCTTTGTTCACATTATTGGCCCCCATCGCAAGAAATTGGATCCTAAGCTCAAGAAATGTGTTTTCCTTGGATATGCTCAGAACCAAAAGGGGTATTGCTATTATGATCCTGTGTCGAGCAGATTTGTCACTATGGATGTTACCTGTTTTGAATCCACCTTCTTCTTCTCTTGTGGTTCTCCTCAAGGGGAGAGTTTTGGGGAGGAGAACTTACAGTCTGTTCCTCTTCTTATTTCTTTTGTGCCTTCATCAGTTCCATCAGCACCTCCATCAGTTTCATTGCCTGAGCCACTACGGGCAACCTCACAGAAATATCAGTGCCGACAGACAATGGTTGACTCCACACATCCTTAACCCACACCACTCTCTATCAGTCCTTCTGAAGCTCCAGATTCAATAGATACAGTTCCAGGTATTCCCCTTGAGCCTGAGTCTGTTATGTTTTCTAATGATAATGTTCATGTACCTAACACCATTGTTGCAACTGATCCCACTGACCTTGATCTTCCCATTGCACTTTGCAAAGGGAAGAGAAAGTGTACAACCCATTGCATTTCACACCATCTTTCCTACAGTGCCTTATCACCCTCCTACCGAGCTTTCCTTTTTTCCCTGGATTCTGTATCTATACCCAGGAATGTTACTGAGACTCTTTCCAAATCTGAGTGGAAAACAACCATGCAAGAAGTGATGGAAGCCTTGGTTAAAAACCAAACTTGGGAAATAGTTGATCTCTCTCCAGACAAGGAGACAGTCGGATGTAGATGGGTATTCACTGTAAAGTACAGGGCCGACGGCAAGATAGAGAGGTACAAGGCAAGATAGTTCCTATGCAGATGCAAATTGGGTAGGGTGCTTAGATGACAGGAGGTCTACATCAGGGGTGTGTACCTTTATAGGTGGAAACTTGATCTCATTGAAGAGTAAGAAGTAGGCGGTTGTGATAAGATCAAGTGCAGAGAATATAGATCCATGACTCATGGTGTCTCAAAACTTCTTTGGGTTAGATCTCTTTTGAGTGAGATTGGGGTGAAAGCAGAGGAACCTATGATGTTGTACTGCGACAATCAGGTTGCAATCAATATTGCCCACAATCCAATTCAGCATGACAGGACAAAGCACATTGAAGTTGACAGACACATCATAAGAGAAAGGGTAACAACCAGAGAAGTCTGCTTGCCATATGTCTCTTCGGAGTTGCAGTTGGCTGATGTCCTCACTAAAGGGGTGGCAAAGAACAAGTTTGAACATGACCTATGCAAATTGGGAATGTGTGACATTTACTCCCAACTTGAGGAGTGTTGAAGATTATTCAGTTTTGTGTTGTTTTATGAGTAGATGTTTTATGTTAGTTGTTAGATAGGAGGTGGGGACCATAGTAGTTATGTGAATCCAAATTTTATTATGTTTTTGTGTCTTATATATGTTGTTTTATGTTATGCCGCCCTATAAGGGCATAGTTGTCTTTGTACTGTTCTTATATTTTTGGTATAAAAAATAAGTGAAGGGGGCGGCCAGATTATTGCTCTCTTTTCTTTTCAAGATCTCTTCTTCTCTTCTTCTCTTCTTCTCCTTCTCTCTTCAAGAAACTACTTTTTTCTGTTCATATTTTTGAATTCAACAGATTTCTACTCTAATAACTCCCACGACTACAAGTACACCAAGAGACCCACCACACCTCATGCACCTCACTTCATTTGCAATGAAATGCATTGGACAAGTGAGGGAAGAAGGTCAACGCCTTCATTGCTAAACTCAGTGATAGTGATGAGAGTGATGAGGAGAAACCCACACCAACTCCAAGTTATCTTCTCAACATCAAGCTCATTTGAGGGTTCTTTCATTCAAGGAGTAAACCAAAATGTCTCTTGTGACAGTCGATCCGATACAGTTCGGGGTCATGGGCGTCCTCCATACCTGTCCAAATCCTATCTGCCTCCCCATACCAAATCAAAGTAAGTGGACCTGAGCAATTTCGTTCTTCACTCTCGAGTGTTTTTTATTTAAGCTTGCATATCAGAATTTTTACAGAGTTTTAATCAGACAACTTCACAAAAGTCATGCTATTTGCAATCTCTATTCAAATCTGTCGCAAATCCACAAAAGAACAAATGAATATAAGAACTACATAGATCAAGTAACATTTTTCTTTCTCCTTTGAATGTTTCTTCCTCTGGTTTACCTATTGGTTGACCTTATTTTCCTTATAACTGTTCAGATTACTCTGTGAAGCATTTGGTAATTGAAGCAAAGGCAAATACTAGGAAGGAAAATGCCCAAGTCCGAAACAGGAGATTACAAAGGAAAGTAAGTCTTGTCCTCACTCTGATAATCACAGGCTGTATGATTCTAGAAATCTTCCTCGATTGGGTGTGTGTTGTACAACCAGCCAGAGACCTTACCAACTGAGTCGGTTGGCACCTTCTTCTTTGATTGTATTCTTGTTGTTTGGTTGCTCAGAATATCAGATTGAAGGCATCTTTGTTTTTTTGTTCTCTTATTTTTAATATATTTWTGCTTATCCCTACCCCTTGATTTTGATATKTTGGACCCATTAAACTGGTTCTTTAAGGCACCTGTGGTAATCTATTTTGACCAATTACATTGTACAGTTGTACCATCTGCTTGCATGCATGTCATTTTTAATGTCATGGTCACTTGGCCTTGGTTTCTTGTGACTGGATTATGTTTCATGATCCATTTAATGCTTCCTATGTGTCAACACAGTTTAATGGATCGTCTGTGAGACCAAGGCTCTCAGTTTTCTGTTCGGCCAAGCAGTTGTATGCTATGTTAGTTGATGATCAGAACAAGAAGTGTTTATTTTAAGGAAGCACACTACAAAAACCCATCCGAGAGAATGTCTCCTGTAGCACCACTGTAAGTGTTTCATTTTGATCTATATCTGTTTTCCTATCCATCAAGCAAAATGCATCCTCAAACTAACAATTCAACTAAAAGTGGTAGCTAGGGGCCATTGCTTGGTCCAACTTAAACTATTCAGTCCAAAGAAGTGGTCCAACTTCAAGCTAGAAAGCAACAATGGTGGCATATGGATTTAATCTGAAATCTGCTTTTTCTGCTGCTGAGGTACAACTGTTTTTTCTCCCTTCTCTAAGCTATCTCAAACTCTGCCCAAGGACTTCGCAAGCACATTGTATTATAGAATTAACCTGAAATCTGTCAAACCAAATGGGTATATGACATATTTAATCTGAAATTTGTCAAACCATTTGAGCATGCTAAAAAACATGCTCAAATCTGAAATCTGAAATCTGTCAAACCATTTGAGCATGCTACAAAACATGCTCAAATCTGAAATCCGTCAAACCATTTGAGCATGCTACAAAACATGCTCAAATCTGAAATCTGAAATCCGAGCATCCACATGGCAGCAACATTTCCAAACAAAAAAAAAAGACACCGTTTAATCAGAAAGCGATGCTTCCAACCCACACATCAGCAGCACAGTTTTCTAAGAAAATGGTGCTGTATCTACAGCATCGATGCCAAACATATACATAACCTATCTCCATCATCAATGGGCTATGTTGGCCCAATGACAACTCACCAGTACACAAGCCACATTAGGGGTCAACATTTAGATTAGAAGAAAGGGTATCTACTTTAGGACTGGGTTGGGCTCATGATGAAGGGGCATGAACCAGACCTAGCTACTTTGTTCCCAACTGGACCCAAACACATCCAGTGATCTAGACATCCTATTATTATTAGATATGGTTCACCAACTAGTTCAAAATCAGAATGATTTATTCCCATAGTCTGCTGTTTGGTTCAAACAGGAATGAGTATGAGAATTGGAAACAGCAGGAATAAGATTTCATTCCCAAGGGAGGGGTAGGGAATGGTCATTCCCTCAAATGGGGGAATGCCATTCCAACAAGAATAGGAATGGGATTCCGATTCCACCCAAGGGAGGGGTAGTGTCTTGGAAACTGAAGCTATTCTCAGCCGTACAAATTCCCTTTCTTCAGTTGGACAAGTACCACAAACAGATATTTTCCCAGTTCTGAAGCCATAAACCCTCAACCCCACAAGGCCAAAAGTGTAGCCACTAAAGGCCAATTTTGAGCAGGTGGAGGGAACCCATGAGCTCTTTTGGGGTTTCATAATTGAGATACACCTGAACTTGCTCTAAATGCAAACTTATCCAACACTATAATCCTAATGTTCAATTTGGTCTCTACTAATCAATCTTTGCTACATCATTGGGTTCAACCTAGATTCCATTTTAAGCACCTCATGCAACCTTAATCAGCAATGAAATTTCGAATGAATGAAAGCTGAATAAAGTAATGAGTAATTTGGCTGAGTATCTAGTGATGACTTGACCCTAATAAGATTGTATTGGTCACAGTTGAATGAAAAGTTGGAGGGATCCATAATCCATCAGGTAGCTAGGATAATTCCATTGCCAAGCAACTCAGGCCCAAAAGCTAGCTTGACCCTTTTGAACAGAACATCTACTTAGAATAATCCATCATGTTCAAATTTTGCTTAATTGCATTTCAAAATATTCTTAACCAACAGAAAGTAAAGGAGAAAAGGAAAAGACTGTTCAATACAAGCAAACAATTTATTTTCTAAAATTTTTATGGTGGATGAAATTATTGACATAAAAAGGAGAAAATTTGACACATTATGCCAATAAAATCATCTATTAAAACTTATATTTATTATCTGACTTGTTATCACTATTGCTCAACCTATGCAAATAGATCGAAGCCATGCTTTACCAATCTTTACTTGGGCTATGGAATTAACAGTTGGTCCCTAGCCCAAGTTAGCAAAGGTTCAAATTTTTTATATCAGGTCTCATTCAATCTAGAAAAATAGAATATAACTTCTAACATGTCTACTAATACTTAGAGTCATTATATTAAGAAAACTAACATAAGGCATAAAAAACCTAAGGTTTTGATATATATATATAATTGAGGTTGGACGGGGTGGGGACTTCATTCCCCATCCCCGTCCTTGCCTTGCCAAAACAATCTACATCCCCTTCCCAAAGAAAGGCTTGCAAAATAAATTACCCAGAGCACTAACAAAACAATCAGAATTCTATATATTGGACTAGTTAGTTTGTTAATTTTTCTTTCTTTACTTGGGCTAGTTTGTTAATTTTTCTTTCTTTTAGTTAGCTTCCTTTAGCTAACTTGGGCTAGCTAGTTTGTTAATTTTTCTTTCTTTGCTTGCTTGGCTGTCTTTGAATCACCTTATTATGTAACTTACCTACCTCTTTGGCACATCATGAATTTAACTACTATCCCTTTTGGATGTGGGGGGGTGGGGGGATGGTGTGTGAGTTTTGTTTAAGAAAACTACTACTGAAGCAAGTTCATGGTAATGATATTTTTCTTTTGGGTTTATGAAATGCTCTTTTAATATAAATCCAAACTAAAGGATCTCTGAAACTAATGGGTGTCCATATTTTTTTTTTCTTGGGGGGAGGGGGGTGGGTATGAAATGTCCTGATTTTTCTTTTAAGTTCAAACAACAAAGTGCTTATTCACTAACTTGTTAATGTGGCAAGATCAGCCATGTTCCATGATTAATTAGTTTTGTTTTCTATTTACGTTCAGGAATCTTGTACTCTATAGGGATGTCACTATCAATATTGTGAGGACCGAGTCCGATCTCCTCTGTAATGCTCCTCTAATTCCCAAAATAAAAAATAGAACAAGTTTATTTTTTCTTTTAAAAAAAAATCTGTAATAGATCCAAGCCAACTAGTTTTGTTTTCCTTATAGGACTTGCAAACAACAACAACAACAATAAAAAAACAAAAAGAAAAAGAAAAAGAAAACAACAAAACAACAATTGTCATTGGAAAACATCCTCTAAGGTTGCATATTCTTTAGGCATTGAACTAACCTCTAAATAAAAGCAGCTATTTCACACAAGCATTAATACAAACATGAAGGAGCTGTTTCTGCCTAGCCAGAGTAATGAGACATTTTGGCATTAAAAATAAGGAGAACAATCTATGCTAAAAAGTACTGAAATTAAGAATAATTTTTACAGACCAAAATAGAGAAGGGTTAGGCTTTATCCATTGGAGTTCGTCTCCAACAGGTTCTTCAAATCGGAACCCAATGGGACGGTGTTACTCCATTGTCACGCCACCAATAGGAACAAACAAAAAAAACATGCATATGCATAAAAACTGACCTCGCCGGAGATGAGTTCAGTTCGGTTCCCAGCTGCCGAAGGAGTGACAACAGATGAGGGAGAGAGGGTTGGAAAAAACCTAGAATCGGCAAAGAGAAGGTTTGATGGTCTGCTGTAGGAAAAGGGACTAATGAAAGAAAAAAGTGAAAGAGAGAGAGAGAGAGAGAGGGGGGGGAATGAGAGGAAGAAGATGAAAGGGGGAGAGAGAAATCGTGGCTTACCTCTTAATTCGTTTGATGCTTCTCAGCTGCCGAAGAAAACAGGGAAATGGTGGTGCTAGAAGAGAATGTGAAAGCGTTTTTACTGGTGCGATTTGAGGGAAGACGAAAGAAGTTATGGGATTCGTTTGCGCGGGAGAGAAGATTTAGCGGGCCGGACTGGCTCTTTTTTTATTTTTCGGTCTATCTCTTATCCGGCGGCAAATATGCATCCGCAACTGTAATTAATCATACCTAGAGCAGCGGATTTCTCTATTTGCTGCTAAAAAATGAATATATAGCGGCGTTTTTCTTAGTGCCGGGTGAGAAAAAATCGAAAAACCGAATCGATCGAATTGAAAAATCGGTTAACCGAACCGGTTGGTTCGGTTTTGATTCGATATTCTTGAAAATTTGATAATTTCGGTTTGGTTTCGATTAATCATTTAAAAAAAATGGCGGTCAACCGAATTGACCGATATATTTATTAAATATTATATATATATATAGTAGGGACCGATATACGGAAAATCTAAAAGACTTAATAATTTTATTTTTCATTTAATGTTGATTTATAACAAATATAATTATTGATAATTGAATATGAACAAATAATTTTTAATAAATTTAGTTTTATTAATAATTTGTAGTAATTTTAATTATTTTTATTCTTTTTAAATGAAATTTTGATTAATTTTAAATAGATAAAAATAATTATAAAAGCTAACACTTTTATTAATTCCACTAATAATTAACAATTATATAAGAATGACAACAGGATGGGTTCAAAGCAGGGCACCCCATCCCTTTCCCTGCCCCATAGTCAATACACTCTACTTCATTTCCGCCTCGTCCCTAGTGTCATGTGGGTTCAGAGCAAGGTAACCACTCTTCAATGTCGGGCGAGTTCAGGGGCAAGGCACCCTACTCCTCATCAAGGATAGAGAATCCTTGAATTTCCCTGCCCCATCCCCAGTATTGGGTGGGTTCAAGTAAAGGTGTAAATTAGGTCATGATGGCTCGACACGACATGACCTGCATGTGGCCCGCACAAAGTGTGAGTATGGGTGTAAACGGATCGAATTCGAATCGGATCAGGCAATCACCGAACTAGATTTGATATCCGATGAATATTGAAAATTAATATCCGAATTCGAATCCAATTAAATATTTGAATATTCGATTCGATTAATTAATTATTTTAGATAATTAATAAATATATAAAATAAATTTTTTATTTATATAACTAAACTGTTATATATATATATATAAAATATCTTATATATTATATAAGAATTAAATAATCGGTCGAATTCAGATATTTATCAAATCGAATCAGGTCATATCCGAATTTGAATATGATTAACTATTCGGTATGAATAGGATATCCAAATTCGATTGATTAGATTATATCGAATATTGAAATTGAAATTGGATTTTAGAATACTGTTTACACCCCTAAGTGTGAGTCGTGTCGTGCTGGCCCATGAGGCATCCCGGGCCATTCCTCCCTCCTCTAGGATAATTTGGGGGGTCGGTTTAGCACAGCCCATGGCTCGAGCCCGCACGGACCCATGCCGTGCCATGGGTCGGGCCTTGGGCCAAGCTATGCCGCGCACCAAGCCAAGCTCAAGGCAAGGCACCCACTCCCCATCCCAAGGTTTTTAAAATTGAACCGAATAGAGAACCGTTATGGGGTTGAATAGTCTGGTTGTTAGGTCCGAACGAATGACCTGCTCTGACAAAAAATAAAATAAAAAATTAGAAAAACAAAAAAAGGCCAAAAGTTGTTGTTCAGATTGACGGTTCAACCACCCAAGTCAACGGTTTGCTAACCAAATAAACATTTTTTTTGACAAAAATCGGTTTTGAGGTGAAACAGTGTCCGATTCCCAATTCTTCTGATCTAACCACCTGTTTTGATCCAGTTTTAAAAACACTGTCCCCATCAACCCAATATTCAATTTGATGATAGAATTGATCAAAATGATATATTGAGTATCAACCACATGGTAAATTTTTAAAAGTACACTAAATTGTATTTAATATTCAAAACTGTAATTTTATGAAAATAATTTATTTTCTTTTTAAATGGTTTACTTGCAAAATTATACTAATTTATCTTATAATTTCTAATATAAACTAACCAACAATTTCCTTTTTCCAATATCATACTAATTTATCTTAATAATTTATGTAATTATTTGTTCAAATTATAGTTTTCCATAAAATTATAATTGTACTATTATTACATAATTCGTTATTAATTTTGTAAAATAATAAATTATTATTAATATGAATACTATGAATTCTATTATAATTATTTTTCTAGTTTTAAGATTTTTTTAAAATTTATTACATAATTTCATTATTTTAACTATTAAAAATTTTGTCATGTTAAATATTTTGTTATTTAAATATTTAAATAATATGTAAAAATTTTAAAAATTTTCATTATTTGAATGGTATTGCATAATATTAAATATGTTTTATATTATTTATCTATTTTTAATGTTTTTATTTAATATTTTTAGTTATTGAAATATTTAAATAATGTTTTATTTTTTAATGTTAAATTTTTATTATTGAATATTTCGTAAAATTATAATTTAATTTGTTACTACATAATTTCATGATGAAATTTGTAAAAATATTGAATTATTAATAATATGAATATTATTAAATATGTTATTTTTTGTTTTGAACAAATATTTTAAATTTAGTATATAATCTCTCGTTATAACATTTAAATAGTTATGGATTTTTTTAATTGAAACTTTCTTTAGAGAGATATAGATAAAAAGTGGGGGGGAGAGGATAAATAGGAATTAGAGATAATTTAAGAGATAAATAGGAGTTAGAGATAATTTAGGAGATAAATAGGCGAGACAATTTAGGAGGAAGTGGGGGAAAGTGGTGCCACTTAGCTAAACATTAGAAAAAGCTTTATGGTTGTTAGAAATAGTTAGGTATATGTGATTTCCTTATTGGTTTAATGGGTAATTATGCGGAATTAAAAAATAAAAAAGAAAAAGAAAACAGAAAATTGGGAAGGGGGTTTCCTGCAAGGAGAGCTATGCTGATGTGGCAGGACAAGTTATATATGTATATATATATATATATATATTTTTCAAATAGGTTTGACAGAGTCTGAGAGGCTTTCAATTTCAGCCTCTTTTTGAACCAATTGAAAGTTCGGCAGTCTGCTAGAGTGCCAGACTGCCACTGCCAATCACTCTCTTCAAAACTCTGCCATTGCCAGACTCTCTTTGAAACTCGGAACCACTCAAGCCTTTTTTCTCTTATCAGTTTCTTTCACTCTTTGTCTTTTCTCTTGTCTCTCTAGTCTTTCTATTCTCTTCTCAGTCTCTCTAGTCTCTCCGTTCTCTTCTCAGATTACCGTGCGGCCTGCGCCAACCACTAGCACCAAGCAGCAACGCCGGTGGGCTGTGGTTTTGAAGCATCTGCGATCCTTTTCTCTTTCTCACACCTCTCCTCTCTACGGCTCCATCAGCAACCACCGACACCAACCAGTCCGGCACCGACAGCAACCACCAACAATTTTAGTTTTTTTTTTTATTATTTTAAATGCATAAAAAAACCAAGAAACCAAACCGCGGTTAATCGGTCCACCCGATTGCATCAGTTCAATTTCGATTTGGATATTTAAAAAACCGATCAAATTGATTTAGTTTAAAAAAAAATACCTAAAACCAAACCATGAGCACCCCTAGCCGCTATATAAAGAGTTTATTGTAGTGGAATCCGATCCATACCCAAAATATTGAATTTGCATCGGATCTTAATTTACTATCTTTAAAATAAAGATAAATTAAAAAGTTTTAAAGAAATATACTCAAACATTAGATGTTGGATTGGGTTTTGGACTTTAGAATCCATGGACGCGACAGACCTATTCTTAGGTAGGTATCGGACACAAAAATTGCCGCGTTTCCCTTGTTTAAAGATTCAAAAGTTGGAAATTAACCCACAATTGAAAAGCTAAGCAAGTAAAAAATAAATAAAAAGATTAATGGATATGACATGGGCACTTCTTATTGATCATATCTTTGAAGGAAAAAGAAAGATGATAACAGTACAGAACCAAATATAAAATGATTATTTGTCACCCAACTGCAGCTCCGAAGCGGGGACCCATGGATTGGTGGATCGTTTAGGTCAGACAAACTGAGATTGTGAGTTGTGACCAGTCAAGCAACAGAGTTAGCTTGGATTCAACTCTTCTCTTGTTAATTTATATTGCCATGCATAGCAAATATCAAATAACAATTAAAGATGGCTGGCCAACTTAAATATAACAATTGCCGAAAACGTAAGGTATTATAAAAATAAATGCAGGAGTTATGTTGCCTGGGTACCGGTAGGTTGAATTCGCAAGGATTTGTTCATCCAACGCCCTCCACTCCCACACTCCTCTTCTCCCTCAAAACATGCATCCTCCTGGTCTACAATTCATGCCAACGCCCAACCCCTCTTACACATTACAAATTCAAAATTTTCCTTGCTGATTACAACAACAGCAACAACTAGCTGGGTTGCATTGCGTGGCCCCTCCAGAAAAGTAAATATATTAATTAATTTCTTGCTATAAATATATATATATATATATATATATATATATATATATATATATATATATNATATATATATATATATATATATATATATATATATATATATATATATATTGAACCACAAGCTTAATTCTGATTTCTCATGGATGATTTCTAATAGGGGAGGCACCGTAGTCGTCAGTCATCACCGTGCTTGTGCAAGCTAGCTAGACCGATCAAGATATGGAGTGTTCAGACGCGAGGATGTTATTGGTAGTGTTGATGATTGTGGTAGCTGGCTCTAGGCAAGCCTCTTGCAACGTCGTTCAGTTCATATTTGGGGATTCCCTGTCGGATGTGGGAAATAACATGTACCTCACTAGGAGCCTGGCAAGACCAAGTCTGCCATGGTATGGGATCGACTTCGGCAACGGATTGCCCAACGGCAGGTTTTCTAATGGTCGAACAGTTGCAGACATAATCGGTACGTACATAATCTCTCTCTCTCTCTCTATATATATATAGTACGTAATTGTTAGTTTCCATATATATATATATATATATATATATATATGACATCTCCTTAATTAATTTACTTATTATTTCTTCTCTTTTATATAATTCACTGCATGCGTCGTCGTACGTCCTTCAACTAAAATTTTGTGTTTTTAGGTGACAAAATCGGTCTTCCCAGGCCGCTTGCATTCCTCGATCCATCTTTAAACGAAGACATCATACTAGAGAGCGGAGTTAATTATGCCTCTGGTGGTGGTGGCATCTTGAATGAAACCGGTGGCCTTTTTGTAAGTAATTATATATTGTATTGCATGCATGCACCATCGATCGATGATCGATCCAAATTAAACAACTCTTCTTACTTAATATCATATCATAGCTAGTTAAGCTACATGCGCTTGTTGTTAATTATTAGTTCAATTAGCTAGCTAGCAAAGCAAATTAACAGAGCTATGCTTTCTCATCAAATTATATATTTTAATTTAATTTGCTGCGCGCAGCTGCAAAGATTTTCACTCTACAAGCAGATAGAGTTGTTTCGAGGAACACAAGAGCTGATAAGGAATAAAATTGGTGCTGAAGCAACAGATAAGTTCTTCCAACAATCCTTCTACATAGTGGCTTTAGGGAGCAATGACTTCATTAACAACTACTTACTGCCAGTATACAGGGATTCATGGAAGTACTCAGACGATGGCTTCAATGAGTACTTAATGATGACTCTGGAACAACAGCTCAAGGTACGTACTAATGCTGCACACTACTAGTTAATTTGTATCAGAGAGATCTAGTTTGTTTACAGAACAGAAGAAAGCAAGCTTTATGAAATTTGGATGATTAATTAAATTGGTTATGTATATTATATATGTACAGCTACTGCATGGCTTAGGGGCTCGGCGATTGATAGTGTTTGGGTTAGGACCCATGGGTTGTATTCCCCTCCAACGTGTCCTAACTTCATCAGGGGACTGCCAAGAGAAAACCAACAATCTGGCCATCAACTTTAACAAAGCTGCTGAGAAGCTTTTACAGGATCTTTCGGGCAATCTCCCCAACACAAGCTTCAGATTTGGAGATGCTTACGACATGGTGAATGATGTGATTAGTAATCCTGATAAATACGGTGGGTATAACCAACTTTGCTTTCCTCTTATAATAAATTAAAGCACATCATATATATATATATATATATATACACCCTTGTACTAACCCTTATTTAGTGGGCTCCTCAGAATAACAGATCGAGGGCCCATATTCAAACGGACAGACAGATAATTGATCCAAAATAAAATTATAAAATTTGGGTTTCGTTGTTTAAACTTCAACCATGACGTGCAATTTTCTCTTTTCAATTATGAGTGACCCATTTTATTATTTTTTATGAGCTTCGAATCGGATCAGAGTAAGGCCAAGGGTTCACATATTCTAATGAGGTTGATCATGCATGTTTTCAGGATTTGACAACTCAGACTCCCCATGTTGCACAATTGGACGGATTCGGCCCTCTCTTACATGTATCCCCGTGTCAAGATTGTGCAAAGATAGAAGCAAATATGTTTTCTGGGACGAGTATCACCCGTCAGATAGAGCAAATGAGTTGATTGCTGATGAGATCATCAGAAAGCTTGGACTTTCACAACTCAATACAACAAATTCGTTTTCACAATCAACAGCCCCTTCCCCTGCCCCTTTCTCCTAGCTAGCGTCATTGCTGACATTTATACGTACGTTCGGCTTTTTTTAATATTAATGAACTTCACTTCACCTTTGCCGAGTTCTTCTTTGTACGTGTTTGTGCTGAAATCTTGTTTTTACAGTAGGTAATGCTATACTACAACGGGTATTTGTCTTGATTTTGACGATGCATCTCATAAATTTATTTACATACGTGTTACATGTATAACACGTGACTTTTACAAAATATAAGCAAATTAAAAAGAGAGTGCAACATTAGATGGGTGGACATGACACCTACCACTTATATTCATTTGGAGATTGGAGGGGCCCAAAGCTCCAAAACGATTGGATTAGGTTAGGTGGTTTAACTCTAACATATTTGTTGATAATGTTCCATTAATATATCTATATATTATATTAGGTTTTACAAGCGCGATTACATTCTTTGATATTAGGTTTTCAACCGTCATTCAACTGGTCAGTTGGACGGCTGAATTGGTGCTTACCCGGTGACTATCTCCTGAATATTCGAGTTTAACCTCTAATCAATTATATTACAGAAAGAAAGCGGTTGATTCGGTCAATCATCTGTTTATATGGGCGGTTCACCTGTTTAACCCATTTAATAAGTTTCGTTTTTTGTATATAATGATGTCATCACAAGTTGACCTAGCGACGGTCTGACAGAGGAAAAAAGTGACGTAATATTTATTATTAGATTTTCAAAAACCTAATATTTATTACTCAAATAATCTATATTTATATATTAAGCTGCTATGTGCTGCCTTGGCACATTGCTGCAATTTAGTAACAGAATAAGCTAATTCTGTTCGGTTAATTCAACTATCAGTTTCATTAGATTTTTACTTTTTTATTTATTAAATTTGGTTTTGGTTCGATTTGATTGAAATTTTCAATCGAAAACCGAATTAATGCTGCTATTCAGTTAAGTATATTAAATATTAATGTTTTATTTAATATTTTTGTTAATTAATTATTATATTTTCCATTGAACAATTAATAATAGTTAATTAAAACCTAGATTCATTATTAATTATTCATTAATCATTTTTCAAAATAGTCATTTCGCCAATTCCACATTAGCATAGGACTTTGGATCTATTTTAGCTTTTAATTAATAATAGCTAATTAATTAAAACTATGCATAGATAATAGGGTTTTGAGTTATTTTAACTTTTAATTAATAATAATAATAATTAATAATTAATTAAGTAAAACTATTGGATTTTGAAGCCATTTTAACTTTTTATTAATAACACTTATTATTATTATTATTATTATTAACAATAATAACAATAATAATAATAATAATAATACTCTTATTGTAGTTATTTTAATTTTTGTTGCTATAGTTATTTTTAAGAATATTGTATAGCTTCTTTGTGCTTTGCTTTATTGTTGTTTGACTTTTTATGTCATATCATTTTATTGTTATTTTTATATGGCTTCTTTGTACCTAGATTTAATGGTTTTGTTTACACTCCATTAATATGAATAATAACAATTATAATTTTAATCTTTTAAACTGAAGCCCGTGCATCGAACGGATCCCAACTAGTACGTCAAAAAAAAGCATAAAACAATTTTAGTGAAAATCTTGAAAATTCCTTTGGATCTCTCCTGAGATTGTTATTTGGGAGCTCCCATGATTGACGGAAGAGTTAACAAATCCACTTTCAAGAAAATAGAGGATCGGGTAAGAATAAAAGTTGAGTGGACGAAAATAAAAGTCTCTATCTCTAGCCCGAAAAATGACTTTACATAAGGCATATAGTTTGTATGATGCCTTTGTTTATAAAGAGATTTTCAAATTTTCCAACGGATTCGTTGTTTTCAATTGATGAACTTCAAAATTTTCTTTGGGGGAAATGATAGAAATCCCACCAACTTGATTGGTTGGAACTTGGAAAATTCTTTCGTAAACCAAAATCTTGTGGAGGATGGATATCAAAAATGGGTGAATGGATGAATACAGCCTTCCTCACAAAATTAGGGTGGAAAGTTCTGACTGAACCTTCAAATTTGTGGGTCTAAAATAGTGAAAAATAAATGCTGAAGAAGGTGTAATTTCTAGGAAGCTAAAACAAGAAGTGAAATCTCTTGGGATTGAAGAGGAATTCTAGATAAAAGAGACCTAATAAAAAATGGAACCTCTTGGATAGTTGGAAATGGGATGTCCACAAACCTATGGAAAGATACTTGGGGCAAGGGAAAAGCTACTTCAACTTTAAATTAATGCTAAATTGCTAATAGTATCCTGAACCTGGATGCTTATAAGATGGTGGACTTAGTCGAACCAGTGAACAAAAAGTGGGATGGAGACAATAAAAAATTTACCGACGGTCTGTATGGTTTGCACAATAAGGGTATGGTATGGAATCGAAATGCCAACCGTTTGATTGGGCAGTATCAGAATCTGATTCCATTTCTAGTGGAATGACATTTTCCAATTTAAGGGAATGGTCATTTCTTCCCCCTCTATTGGGAATGGGAATCCCAGTCTAATTGATTCCAATTCTTATTTCTATCTGAACCAAACAAGTGGGGGAATAGGCCATTCCAATCCCAACTCCAATTCTGATTCTAGCTATGAACCAAATAGACCCTAAATGAAGATATATGGAAAAAAAATTAAAACCATTGTTATCCTAGCTAAAGAGAGAGAAGATAGATTGATCTTGAGATTAGAACATAAAGGGTATATCTTCATTAAATCAGTCTACATTCTTCATGCTGTGAAGCACTCTTCAAGTAATCTAGATGCATCCATGTTCAAAAGATTCGGGATGGATATTCAGTGCGTATATATACTAAATGTTTGTATAATATATATGTGTGTGTACGTGTGTGTACTAATACATATTTTATCAATAAATAATGTATGATTATGTTTTAGATATGATATATGTATTATTTTATATTTAATCTATGTTTTTGAATTCAGTTTTGAAATTGTTTTTTATGTAATAAAATATTAAAAATTTGCAATTTGATGTCAAAAAAGATTTTTTATTTCACGAAAATATCAGGGCAAGGATAGGATCCTTGGGATGTATAAATCTCAAAAAACTACCAAAAAAAATCACCTCAATCGAACATTGGAATGCAAAGTTATGACTTTACAAAATTTGCATACACATTTAGTATGCAACCTATGGCCCGGTGACTGAATCAATGGTCGGACTGTTCGAACCGATGATTTATTAACTATACCAAGTTTTTGGTGGAAAACTGAATTTTACTAGAACTGAAACCAGAAAATCAAGTGAATAACGATTTGACTGTCTGGATCAACGACGGATTGAAAACCTTACTTTTATGACTATCATCTAACAATGACAATATATAATTTGCATTTTAACATATCACGTCGAAATAAACTTATAAATCACTTAGGATTAGGTTGCATGTAAAATGAATGAAAACAAATGATTTCCATCAAAAAGGATATTCAATAGGAAAATGAACCATGCATTTTCCTATTTTTTCTAGTATTTAGCTTGACTTGGAAAACAAAACCTGAATGGCTAAGGCATAAACGGGGTGATTTCAGCCAGCCCACTTTTCTCAAAAATGATCTATCGAAGATTAATAATGATCACGAAAAAAAACAAGTCAGTTTCCTAAAATTACTAATTTTTACAAGATTTTCATATGGAGGGGAGCAGCTACCCCAACCCCCATCCCATCCCTCGTAATTAAAAACAAAAAAACAAAAACATCTAACACAGTATCTCCCCCTTTTGTTAGAAATATTAAAGAAAATTCTCTAAAAACATTGGTTTGCATATCATTGGAAATCATCCCCCTTAATCTCCCACATCTTAGGGCATTATGTCAAATCACTAAGGGTGTGTTCTCCAATGTGAATTGTTTTTTTTTTTTGTTATTTTTGTGTTGCTAGTTCTAAAAACAAAACAAAACAAAACAAAACAATTGGTTCTTATAACAAAAATATGGAAAATATGTTTATATGTGTTTTTTTTTTTGTTTTTAAAACTGAAACAAAAAAAAAAAACGTGTTCTTGAATATTTTTGTTTGAAGAACATGTTTTTATCTGATTATTTAATATCAATGTTCCATAAATTACATAATTTCTACCCTTAAAAATTTGTTTTTGTTTTAGCAGAGTTTTACATCGATTGTTGATGTAAATATTGCATTGATAAAATTGATGTAAAACTCCACTTTTCGAAATTCAAACGGTTACTTTTTAATGGTTCGATGTAAAACATCATTGTTGTACTTTTACATTGATGACATTTTACATCGGGTCTAAATGCAATCTAATTGTCTTGATAGTTTAAAAAATATGTATTATTTTTGAAACAAAAGAACTTGTTCCTGCCTTCAAAACAAAAAGAGTTTAAGAATATAATTTTGTTTTTACTTTTACTTATTTGTTTGCTGATGTAGTGATTTAAAAAACAATTGAAAATAAAAACATTTAGAACAACCATAGAATAACAACTGATCCCTCTATCGATTCATGTTGTAAAACAACCCTTTAATTCAAGGTTTTTAAAACCAAACCGGACAATGAATCAGTCAGGGGTCTGGTTCCCGAGTCAAATGGTTTGATCGTTCGAACCAAATGGATGCCCTGTTTTGACAAAAAATAAAAAATGACCTAAACTATTGGATAGTTTGAACGGTTCAACCGCTGACCAAATCAACAATTTTGACGAAATAACAGTTCTGGAGTAAAACGGAACCAATCATCTAGCTGTTTCCCGATTTTTCGGTCCAACAGTCTAGTCCGATTTAGTTTTAAAAACCATAGTTAAATTGGATTTTATAGTTGTGGTGGCAATTTTGCAAATAAAATCGAATACTATATAAATGTATTTTTCCAAGAAGCCATGTGGTTTCCTACATTGATAAGCTACATTTTGTAATATATATGTGCAACCAAATGAAGCCCAAGATCGAAGTAGTTCCAAAATTAAATATGATGTTTAATAGTATCCATTAATCTTACATATATATTACATATATATATATATATATATATATATATATATTAAAGGGAAAGGGGTAGTCGTCCCATTTGCCAAATGGCCGTATTTTCCTTGTATATATATAAGATTCTTCATTGAAACATAATGTTTAATCATTTGATTTTCGAATTGACGGTTCGATCATTTGATTCGAACGGATGACTCGTTTTGACAACCGATAATTCAACTATTTGGTTCGAATGAATAATCCATTATGACAATAAAAATTACAAGTAAAAAATTGTGGAACTATTCTGGCCATCGGTTTTTGGGTTGACAGTTCGATCGTTTAGTTCAAATGGACAGCCCGTTTTAACAACAAAAATTACAGGCAAAAAATTGAGTGTGTGAGGTCCATTAAGCAATATCATACGTGTTATATCATTCGAGCATGTGACTCATACGACTAGAAAATGGAACTGTTCGGGCCATCGGTTTTTGGGTCGATGGTTCGACCATCCGGTTTGAACGAACAACCTGTTCTGACAACAAAAATTAAAAAAATAAAAAAAACAACCAAAACTCATTGAACGGGTCAACGGGTCGATGGTTCGACCACCCAGGTCAATGGGTCATTAACTGATTCAATGGTTTTTGGTCAGGGACCGGGATTGGGATAAATTGGAGCCGGTTGTTTAGATGATTCCCAATTAGAAAAATGGCCAAAAACCATCGAACGGGTTAACAGTTCGAGTAAAAAATTCATAAGCTTGAGCTCAATTTTGAGAAAAAAGATTTTATAAAATAAAAAAATTATATATAAAAATATTTTTGTTTGATATTTAAAAATAATAATTATAATATTTTTATAATATATATTATTTTCTATAATTTTATTATATATATATATACATATCGAGCTGGCTTGCGAGCTCAGCTCGTTTAATAATCGAGCCTATGAATTGGGCTCGAGCTTGGTTGAAACCGAGCTGAGCCGAGCTCGAGCAGCTCGTGAAAAGCTTGGCTCGTTGCCACCCCTAAACAATAGTTTGAAAACCATGATTTTTATGATTTTGGATTTTCAATTTTCAAAGGTTTCTTCTACTGTGGGTTTTATTCGATTCTTTTTTTTTTCATTTTCTGTTTTTGTTTTTGTTTTTTTTTTTTTTTTTGTGTTTGGTCTTCTTCTTTAAGATCCTCCAAAACGGTCTAGGGTTTACCACCATTTTATTTCTTCCCTTTTGTTTTTTCTTTGGGTTTCTTGTGCAATGTTTTTTTTTTCTTATAAGATGATCTGCTTTGTCTCTTTTGTTTGATTGCATGTATATTTAGCCCCGCCTCAATTTTTTCCTTGGTTTTTATAGTTTGGTGGATTTATCGCCAATTTTTTTTCTATGTTTAAGGTCACTTTGGGTTTATCTTTTAAGGTTTTGGAATCCCTTGCAATTAGACATGTTCATTGGTCGGGCTGGAAGCGGGCTTTTGCTCTTCATTAATAGAAAATTTTCAGGCCCGAGCCCAGGCCCGGCCCGACCAACGGACCTACAACTTGGGCTTGAGCCCGACCCTCTAAAATCCCAAAGCCCAACCTGGGAGTGCTTGAGTTCGCCTCTGAGATTAAGAGAATGGTACTTGAGCTGAGTTCGCCGATTCTTGGGAGTCTGAGAGTGAGAATGGAAACTGAGAAAGTAAGAAGATAGAAGATGAAAACAATACCGGCCAGAGAGAGAGACAACCTAGTTCTGGTGGCGCTAGCCACTAGTGCCTGAGTTCACAAAGTGAAATGGTGCGCCTGGGTTTGCCAGCTCTGAGAGTCTGAGAGTGAGAAACTGAGAATGAGAAGAAAAGTGAGAAGTGAGAAGATAGAAGATGAAAACGGTGCCGACTGGAGAGACAGAGAGCTCACTACTGGAGAGAGAGACAACCTAATTCTGGTGGCGCCGGCCGCCAGTGCCTGAGTTTGTAGAGTGAAAATGGTGCACCTGGATTCGCCGACTTTGAGAGTGAGATATGAGAGCTGATTCTAAGAGTTTGAGATTGAGAAATGAGAATTAAAAGAAAAGTGAGAAGAATTTAGGGTTAGGGTTAGGTGGTTTAGGAATTTAGGTTTTAAATTATAAAAAAGTCGGGTCGGGCTTTTTTGATAAATCTCGAGCCCGATCCGTAAAATAGTTGGGCTCGGGCTTTTAGGCCCGAGGTCAAGCCTGCGGGCTAAAATGCATGTTAAAGCCCATCCGGGGGCCGGGCCGGCCCGTCGGGCTACCTGACCCATGAACTGGTCTACTTGCAATGTCCACCCTTCCCATGACTATGACTACAAAGTTATTTCGTCTAATTATTGACATTTAAAAAAAATGACCCAGAAATGGAACCGTTTTTGCCACCGATTTCTAGGTCGATGGTTCAACCATCCAGTTCAAATGAATGGCTCATTCTGACAACAAAAAATAAAAAAATTTAAAAAATTAAAAATAAAAATGGCAAAAAACTGTTGAACTGGTTAGTAGGTCGACGGTTCGACTGCTTGAGTCAACGAATCGTCGAATGATTCAACGATTTTTGGCCAGGGGCCGGGTTTGGGGTAAAACAGAAACGGTTGCTTGGATGATTCCTGGGCCAAGAGTTCTCGATATAAAATAAAGAACAACTATGAAGTAGAACTTAGAACTATCATTGTATGATCATTTTTTTTATGAGATGATTTGATGAAACAATATTTAAAAAACGAGCACATGAGTTTCAAAACTTAAATACTAATTATTAAAAAATCATTGTCTTTTTAAATGTAACAAATAACAATATTATAATTCCATATATTAAATAAAACTTGCACGATTGAATTATTGCTCGCTGGGTGAGATATACCCCTTGGCTGTCGTTTATAGGATTCCTAGTCGTGGGCCCTGCTATCATTGATTGCTCATCGGCTGAACTGCCACCTGCTACATATTAAATTAAACAATGTCAATTACTTATTTAATGCTTTTTTGAAAAAAGAAAAGATAGGTTTAGAAAACTGATTGATACCCTTTGGTGATTAACTTTTAGAATGGCATAGTCTTTAGCCTGCCGTTTACTTGTTTATATATTATGGATGATATCATAGTCTCTCATTAATAGTATATATGCTTAGTGTTTTGTTTTTATATATGCTGATCACATATAGAGGCCAATCCTCCGGTTTTGTCTTGCCCAAATTTTAGACAGTGAAGTGAATAAACCATTGACTTGTCAATGATTATCCTCTGTGATGTAAAGCACGTAAATGAGCTAAAATGCCACTCCCATGGACTTGAATATGAAGCTTTTGTGGGCAGCCACGGTGGGAGTGGGATCGATTAGGCATTCATCATTTTTTCAACTTCGACCTGGAAAAACTGGGTGAAGTACGAAATTTCCAGGTAGGTACCGTTCCGTCCCGAGTGGAATGTTTACAGTTGAGATATGAACGGTCAATCAGAATCAACGTAACATATTGGCATGAATTTAATTTGGCAAACATGATTAGATGAAGCATGTATACAAATTAAACCCTCATGGCTCAAGGCTCAAGGCTCAAGGCTCAAGGCTCAAGGCTCAAGGCTCAAGGGTCAATCCATTAATTACCCATATATATATATATATTATATGTGCTGAATAGCTTTATTTAAACTAAACGACCGTTTAATTAAATTTCCAGTGGATTTATGGAGTAGTAGTACTCTATATATGTCCTAACTCCTGAGTTTTGCCTATCATTCACTCATAAGTGAATTTTGGGTGTTTAAAAATTTTTGAAGGAGAATGTTGGTAGAACAGACGGGCAGTAACTCTGATGTAAATATTGCTCCATCTTAATGCTAATGTGTGGTTTTTTGGGAAAAAATTTGAAGGAGAAAGGAGAATAGACCATAAATTTAACTATCTTAGTATCTTAGGACTACCGGGGAAAAGAAAAACTGATACGCAATTATTAATTGACCAGTGGGAAGAACCAGTCAAGAGTTAAACAACGTATATTATAAGCCACGCCCGTTCCACCATGCAGACAAAAGTATATAATGACCTATTAACAACCACCATCTTTTTTTTTTTTTTTTTCTTTTAATTATTCGTAGACAAATTTCCAACTCGTGTCTTTTCCTTGATATTTCACTTACCCATCCATCAACTTTTGAAGCTCATATGTGTTGTTCAGAAACCGGACAATTTATCCGGTACAGAGTATCAGTACTTGCTCGAATGATCGGATAGCAACTCATGGAAGAGAACGAATTGCTTTATTTCTGGTGTGTCATCGAGCGTTTTATCATCCCAGATGGATTGAGTTACTTCGTCCATCCTCTGATTCTCTTCCTCTGTCATATCTTCTTATCGGTGAAAGTACTAGGAAACTGGATTTTAGATCAGCTCCCCCATCCGTCTAAAGATATTTGGGTTATGCTTTTGAGGTTTTCTGGAATTGTGAGGAGTCGGGTACGGGTAATTCGTCTTTGGTTTTCAGCTGCAAGCAGGCCGAGCGATAACAAAGTCGAACAAGTCGTAAAGGAAGAAGTCTCAACAAGTGAGGCTCTTGAAATTTCTTATTCAGTTCAAAGTTTTGCCTTGTATGGTTATTTGATAGTTCAACCGGTAGCTCATGTGCTAAAAACAATAGATTTTATTGACGAGGAAGGGGATGATGAGGAGGATGTGGACGAATATGTTAGTGCGGATGAGGATATCGAAGAATATGAAAGCGTGGTTGAGGATTTGGAGGACTTAGATGATGATGTTTCTCTGGTTGACGATGATGATGATATGGAAGAGCCATATTTTAGTGTGGTCGAGGAGCCTGCAGATGGGAGTGTGGTCGGGAGTACGGATGATCCAGATGTGAGAGTGGTGGAGGATATGGAAGACCCAGATGCTAGCGTGGTTGAAGATATGGAAGTATCCGATGCTGTTAGTGTGGTTGAGGATGAACACATGCATGACTATACTTTCTCCTCTCTTTATAGCTCTGAAGCATCCGTTGTGCAAGCAGAAGATGATCAGGACCAGAGAGAAGATGTAGAAACCGATCCGTTCTACAGCAAATACAGTGAAAGGATGAGATGGTTCGATCTACTCAGTTATGAGAGATCATGCGGAATGAGTGGGTATTCATTAATATTCATTCATCATCATCCGATTGTAATACGACCCATTTTGTCTTAATCGTTTCTTTTCATTTTTCTTTTTTAAGCTAGATTCCAATAAGTTTGATGATTAATTTTCTCAATGTAGATGCAATCCTGAACACGGAATTGGGAGCTCCTACTTCAACTGAGAGATCAGAGTTAATGCAATTTTCTGCTCCGTTTATGTCATGGAGCAAGGTGAGTAAAAGAAAGCTGCTAAGAATCATAGAGAACGATTTCGAGACTGTGTATGTGAGTCAGTTATGCTTGTCTTGGGAGGCCCTCCATCATCAGTACAGGAAGGTTGAGTCACTTGCACCATTCCCTGGTTCTCAAGAGGGCGTCTTTTATTACGATGTGGCCGGAGAATTCCAAAATTTCAAGGTCCTATTACAGAGATTCATGGAAAACGAAAACCCCAAAGACAAAAGGTTTTTGAGTTATGTTCGAACAAGGTTTTCTGACAATAGATTTCTCCAGGTTCCGGAGGTTACAGGTATATACCCAACTCTTCATGATCTTTTCTTTTGATTTGTTTACATTTACACGGTGGAGATGATCCAAATTCCATACTATATTATTCTTTTGATTAGATTCTTGTAACCCATAGCATTGGAATCAACACGACGTCCACCACACCCACAGATTCCAATCTAATGGTTTAGGGCATATACATTTACAAGAAAGAAAATAAAATACCATTTGTCTTATTTCCCTAAAAACTATCGTTTTGGTTGAAATGGTCTAACAAACAAGGAATCTAGACTCTGCAGGTTCAATTAATTTATTATTTTTAAACTATAGTACTTATCCATTTCCATGCCGTCAATTAATGTTATATATGTCATTTCTTAAACTTTCTTTTAATACAAGTTTGTTCACTGAATCACTTTGTTGGAAAAGTGATCATTAAGATTTATTGATCATTAATCTGTGTTCCTTATTGATCATTAAGATTTATTAAAGATTCATTCGTTGGAAAAGAAAAATATCATACTATAATTTATATGCAAACCACCTTAAAGTTTTAGCCTTTTAGGAACATAGATTTTCTAAAGATTTACATGTCATGGCTTTGAGACTAAACAGCGAAGTCTGATTCAAGAGGAGACCGGAAATGCATATTAAAGAGTGATTATGTAAAAGTTTTCAAGCAATGTCAAAGATTTCTCCAATTTTGTTTATATTATATAACATTTTTTATTTGCACCATGTATACAACAAAATAAATAAATGCCAATATGTGTAACCTTATTGTGATGCAGACTGAAGAGTGTTTTTTTTTTCTTGCCCCTTATTAAAGGGTATTTAGAGGAAGTAAACGAAGGCATGGAAGAAGTGACAGTGGGAGCAAATGAAGTCTTAAGTGCCATAAGGAAGTCTATAGCGGTATTCGGACAGTTTGTAGGTAGAGACAACAGGAAGCATTGGTGGAGGAAGTACAGGAGGATGCTATGGATTCATCCCCCGGTGGAAGACCCTAAAGACTTGAAGTTATTAGTTGAACTTGAAAAACTACGCCGAAAGGTATGTTGTTGAAATGGATTGGAATGAGTCAGAACTCAAAAGTCGGGGTCAAGTTCAGTTAATCTGTCAAGTGTCAACCCATTATGGGTTCGGCTTATGATGTAAGCCATTTCTAGCTAGGTTGTCACGTTTGAAGCATTCAAATGGGTTTTATATACTTTTATTAATATATATATATTTTCTATCTTTTATCTCAGCCTATATAATTATTTTATTAATTAATTAATTTATTTATTTTGCAAGACGAATGACCAGCCCATAGCTTCCGGCCCACATTGCCTCGATTTCATGCCATGGGGCAGGAGGAGGGGTTTGGAGTGGACCCATGATGAACTCAACCTATTACCATTATTTATGAATTGAGATAGGGGATCTATCCCCCACTTAGAGGGCCTCAGGCATTAGGAGTTTAGGATCCAATCCCAACTACAATTTCATTTTTAATCCACTTTATATGGAAAATTTAGCCATTGATAAAACTAGTAGTATTTCGGAAAAAAGATTTCGGCTGTCCATACGAGACCTTGTGCTACCAACAGGCTCTCTCCAGGTGACACGTTAGCCTATACAGCCGTGCCTCCAGCTCTGTTACTGTTGCATGGAGTCCACGTGGACTAACGTGTCATGCAGGAAAACGGGGCTGCTTAATTGGATGTAGACGGCCAAATTTTTTTTCATATTTTAGAGATTAAAATATTGGAAATAGTATTAATTAAGGTGATTTTGCAGTTACTAGGTGGAAAAGATTTTGCTTTAGGCTCTACAAGTGAAAAGAGATTCTTTTGAAAAGTATATCTTAAAAAATACAATAAATTTCTATAATCAATTCAAGCATCTAAGAAAAGAGTTGCTTGAATCAAATGGTTAATTCTTGAGATTCGGAAAAGAACATGCATATTATTTATTTCAAAAGAGCCTGCATGTTTTTGTTTGTTATTATAAAACCACAAATGGCAGCTGAGTAGCTGACATTCTTTCATTTCATTACACCCAGTTTGAATATATATGTATATATATAATCTTTTAATTAAGCGTAGGTTGATTTATGACCGATTCTTTTAGAAATCTATTATATAAAATTTGGGTGACACTTGCTTTTTATTCCTCTGGTGGTTGGATGAGTTAGACCTATAAAATGAATCCCCATGAACAATTTAATGACAGATGGTGTGTTTTGATCTTTGTATACATGCAGAAGAAACTATTCCTTGAGGATCTGAAGAAGAAGAAGAACTGTTGGCTCAAGAGAAGGATGGCAATAGAAGATTCACAAAAAGTGGACATGATCCTGAGTGGGATAGACCTGAAACTGGTGGAGAGGGTGCTCAAACTGTCCATGATTTCCACGGCTCAACTCAAATGGTGCCAAGACAAGCTCCACAACATCGAGTTCAAAAATGGAAGAATTGCTAGGGCTTGCACCAATTCCTGCTTATTCCCAGCTTCTTAACCATGATTTCCAAATAAAATGGTTGTTGCTTTCACTTTTCCGTTTCGTAACCATGTCTAATATATCCAAAAAGGCCGGCATAGGTGTGTAATATATTCATATCGTACAAGATACAATACTTTTGTAAAATACGATCCCCCTAATGCTTCGATCCGGTCCGGTCTAAAAATGGTTCTTCAATTCAGTTGGGAAGTGAGTGTATTATATTAGTCAGTCTATTAGTTCTAGATTCAAGAGAAGTAGCCGGTAGGGCGGGCCCGAGTCTCAAGAGCCCTCAGGCCTCAAAAGTTTGCACAGGATCTGTTCTACTTCTACCAAAAGACTCGGACCAAAAAATCCCTACCATTACTCAAATTTGAGAATGAGATCCGATAATTTGTTTCCGACAATTCTGTTCATATTTTAGTTTTTACAAAATACATACAAAGTGCATTAATGGTCTAGACCAGGCCCATTAAATATCTCTAATGGACTTTGTTGTTCTAATAAGGTTCAATTTGGTAGGAGTATAAATACATATAAAATAATATAAAATATAAGATTTTACACTCTACAAATTTGTATTTCTATTACTTCCAAACTGAGTCTAAATAAAATCAGGATTTATTTCTATTTTTTTTATGTAAATTGACAACTTTACAAATAACTAAAACTTAGAACCACCGCTGAAGCAAGAGTATGATCAAGTGGCTGCATTTTTAGAACAGACGGGAGTGTGTCACTGCTGTCAAATGAATGAAACCTATTAATTTGTATGGGGGGCTCCCGAGTTCCGACATTATGGTCCAGGCCCACTTGCCATGCAAAACAAAACTCGGTGGGCCTTCCATGTTTTGTTTTTATTTTCCTGGAGCATTTCGTATTTTATTTTAATCTTATTGGTTTGATGTCAGATGCTCGCTCCATTGTCCGTACGCACATCGGCGTTGAGCTCTCTGGTTTAAATTCAGCCAATCTGAACCTTAAGCTCTCCATGATTTCTCCATTAGTAGGACCCATTTTAACAGAATTCGATACTGAAGGCTCATGCCACTGTTTTTGTTTGTTCATGGTTCCTCCTCCGTTTCCTCCACCAGCCTTGCTTCCTCCACTTACCCTCCCTGCAATCTCCACATTTCCATTGAGTTGGGTATCCTTCAAATCCAATACCCCTGAATGGGCTGTCTTGCTTCTCGAATTCCTTTACTGGTTTTTCTTTGATCTTCATTTCATCAATTGGATTTCTTTTCAGTCTCCATTTCATCACCTGGAGTTTTTACTTGATCATGAAATCTTGTTAGTTCCCACAGCCAGTTAAACAAGCATAACGATGGCTTTTATCGGCTCTCTTTCTTCTGTCGTCGAGACGGCAGTGGAAAATTCTGTTCTTCATACTGGAAAATTTTCACGACCTAGGGTGTTTTCTTCCGCGTCTCGAGGAAGACATTCTCTTAATTACGGTTTAAATTCTTCAAAAATTGGCTTCTCCCAACCTGTCGAAGGAGAAGAATTCCCCGCATTATCCTGCAATTATGTGAAAATGCTAAATATGTATGGCAGAGGACAACCTCGAGGGATTAACCGTCCGAGAGCAATGAGGAAGAAACCTGTAGAAAGAGAAGATGGTGACGAGTCCGAGGATGCTATCAAGGCTACAGAGGAGAATGGCAAGAAAGTTCTAGCTAAGCAAAAACAACTACGTCAACGGGTATTTCTTTTTTCTTTGCTCTTGTTCCCATAGAATCCCTCTTTGACGTGGAAATTCTCTTTTTCTTTTAATCTTTGTGCATATTCTTCTTGATGCCTGGGAGTTTTGGTAGCTGAATAGTTTTGGTTTCAGTGAAGATGTCTCTTTGGTAAGACTTATAACTCTCCTCTAGGTTATTTTCTTCCTTTTGGTCAATTTCATTAGTTTAATTCTACTCATGAACTGAGATGTCTTCCATATTCTTGGAGTTAGAACAATTCAAGAAGTTGAACAACGGGTTGCTTTTTGCTTAAAAGTAAGGAGAAATTTTACTTCGTTGGAAAGCTATGCAACTTCCTTCCTTGTTTCCATTTAATTAATACTACTAATGAACTGAGATCTCCTGCAAATTCTTGGAGTATGAAAAATTCAAGGAGCTCAATAACGCATTGCCTTTTACTTTCTCCATATAAGTAGAATAATTTGAAGATGGTAATAATCTACAATACTTAACTGCAAGAGAGGTTAAATTGGAGAGTTCATTGGATGGCTACTACAGAGTTTACCCCTGGTTGTAAGATAAACGTGAATTTGCTATATCGGAAATTCATGCTTTCACCTGAGTAGTAATCAAACTTACTAAAAGTGCAAATGTCATGTCAAAGGTTTCACAAGTAATATTTAACTTCTGTCCAAATGCAAAATTTCATCCTGTAATATATTAATTTAAATTATTCTGTCTAGCAGCTGACTAGTTAAACTACCATGAGGTCAATGTTTAGGATGATATTTGAAGCCTGATCATTTTATCAAGAAGCTTATGGCTCTATAGATCATGCAAGGTCAACAACTAACTCCATGATAAAAAGTGGATTCTTGCAAAGAGTTACCAGTGAACTTGGCTGGTTGCATAAGCACTTGCACTGTGACTTAAGTAGTTCTACACTTCTACCAACTTTGACATTTAACTTGTTGAAATGTTATATAAAGTTAACATTGCTAACCTCACCATTTTTGATAATTGGAAGGATATAAAATTTTTTCTAGCTTCTTGACATAAAAAACATATCATGCATAATCTTGTAATAACTATATCCTCCAAATATACTTCTTAAAAATGAACTGCCTGATGAAAAAGTCATGCTAACCTAACAACCTTATTACCTAGGAAGTTGCTTGAAATGCAAGGTTAATCCCTGAGCTCTAGTATTATGGGAGCCTAGATGGTCTGTCCTAGACCTGGGGAACCATCTAACAGGTGCCTCTTGACCTTCTTTGACAACATTGCGTGTTAAAAAAAAATATCTATTGGCTATATATGATCTCTAACAGAACTTATTTCTTTGAACCATTATTACATGGCCTTTTCTCATTTGATCAAGGCTATGAATGATGCTCTTGATTTTTGAAATAAGTATGATATGGAATGTTTGATACAAATATATTTCAATATGATATGGAATATTTGGTACAAATATATTTCAATATCCAAGTTTAGCCCTATAACAAATTTTTATCAAACATCACATTTTAAAAGAAAAAAAATCCAAAATGGGTGAAAACTGCAAGCCTGTAAACAATATCACTTTGTTGGTTTAAAATGTGGATTTAGTAGTCATAGTCGCAATTATCTGTGGAAATAGTAAGGAGAATTAAGAATTACAAAATTTTGAAGTAACAATTACCTATCCTGTGGATACTTTGGCTTTATCTGACATTCTTGGAGGAGCTGTCCCCTTGTTCAATATCTCTTAGAATTCCGCATGACAACTTAGGCTTCACAAAGTCTATTAGTAACTTTTTCATAACTCAAAAATTGTACATAGTATAATATTTCAGTGAGAGAGAGGGGGTTAATTGTTGTCACATGGATATTCCTTGTCTATCTCTATGCGATGCAGGTCAAATGCAGGACCTGCAGGTATTTGCTTGGGACTTAAAAGTTAACTTTTAATTTTAATGTTTTCAATTGAAACTTAGTAACAAAAGAAAAAGAAAGACTTCTGCTAACAATCCTAAATGATAGAAAATTGAAAATTTACCATAATTTTATCTTTGTATGGGCTATGTTTTGTTAGTCATATGATACTACTACATTTCTCCCATCATTATTTCTGCTTCTAGTCTTCTACAAGGTTTTAGTAGTATCAAGGGAAAATGATTAATCAATGTCAATTTTATGAGACATGAAAAGGGCCTATGTATAATATGCACTGATATATGTTCAATATTTGATGGCTTAAAGCCTTAAACAATAACTATAAGCATATTTCATGTATAAAAATTCATTTGTTAATGACATTTTTGAGTCAAAGTATTAAACTTTAGGAATCTCTAAAAAGTATTTTCACCATTTCAGGTTATTACCTTCCTTTTTTTGCTTCCTGATTTTTGAGCCAGCCATTTTAAACTTGTATTCTTCCAAAAATCTTTTGTTTGCACAACATTTTTTTAAGAATGTTGTTCCTTTTGCTCTGACATTGGTGCAGGCTCTTAGATAGAATCTATGCTTACCCAGAAAACCTGAATATGGAATGTTTCACACATATTTTAAAATGATGCTACTTTTTAAGGGAAATATTGATGCATGAACTGCATGTTCTACATTAAAATACAGATTAGATTTACAGCGTCCAACTCCATTTAAGATTCTAGTTTGTTTTCCCTCCGTGGAGAGGAGCTTGGGTAATTCTATCAGATTTCAATGAATGTCATCTTTGAAGTAGAATATGTGAATTCTTCTCTTTAATTATAAGTCCACAAATCTTGCTCTCTGTTCTGTTGTGTCCATATCATACAATGCCCACTTTTCATTTTAGTTTCCCAGCGTTGTCTCATTGCTTGAATGAAATACCAACAGAGTAATTGTGCTTTTATATTAGGGGTGATCATTTCTAGCCCAGCCTGCAATATATTTATATATTACATAGATATACTTTATATATACATAAACATATAAGAGTATTACATATATATAATATTATATAAAAGCACAATTATATCATCATCTAAGCATTGTCCCATCTATATGGGGTCAGCTACATGAATCATGTTTTGCCATTCTGTTCAAAGACAGATCCATGACCATGAGAGTTTGGCAAAGCTTTAGTGCCGGCTGCCGACAACCCTCCTTTATCTGGACTTGGGACCAGTGGTGTAAAACAAGCTCACACTAGTGGAGTTATAATATATTGTATATAATATTTTATATTTATATAGATTATGACATATTTTAATATAAGTTATCATGCATATTAAATATAGTATTAAGTGACATAAGCCCAAAGCTTGGCCTAGCCCAGCCTGGCCGGGCCTATGATAACCCCTATTTTTTATCTTTTTTACTGGATCAATTTATTTCCAGTTGTGGATGCCAATTTTATGTTGCCAAATGTTTTTATTTATAGTTATATTCTAGACTTTCTAGTCTCTTTGCCGGTATTTAACATCGGATACTTTGTTTCAACTTCCTACTTGTGTGCAGACAGCAGAAAGGAGGAAATTTGTTTCATCTATAAGAAATAGTAATATCAACACAGAACAAGATTCAGGGTCTTATAATGAGACCGATAACTCATTTCCATCAAAAGATCTTTCTTCAGTGGGTAGTGGCAGTACTGGTGGAAAGTATGCTAAAAAGATCAATTCCAGAAGTTACAATCGTTCAACTAAAGTTAGGAAATCAGAAACCCCATCTGTTGGTATTAATGGAGGTCTTAGTGATRAAAGGAAGCAAACTGAAAGAAATTTATCTCTTGGAAAGGATACATCAGATATAGATTTCAAAGATGTTAAAGACACCAGTTCTGGAACAGTTAATTCTGATATGGTTCCAACTTTTCTTGCAAAAACATCKGGATACAATCTAAATGATGAAAATGCTGAGTTGGAAGAAGCAAGTTTAGGAGATGATGTAATGAACAGGGAAGCTAGTGTAGTTTCTGAGGATGAAACTGTAAAGTCTCCTCCTTTGGCCGGGGACAATGTCATGAACATTATATTGGTATCTGCAGAATGCGCTCCTTGGTCGAAGACAGGTATGCAGCTACCATGAACTATGAAAGTAAATATCACATAAGAAAGCAACTCCATTTTGATGAAAACTTCCCTTCTCAAATACATGCCCCACCACCCTCATTCCAGTGAATAGTAATTTGCATTTTTTTGTTATCAGATTTTGTTTTATTCTACATATTCTAAAGTTTATCTATATTTCTTTATGAAATGATTTTTATTCTATACTTTGGAAAGGTACTAATTTTTGATAGGTAAGGAAATCTTTGGTATCCACTGAGTAGACAGTAAGAATATTGTTGATGACACAATGGTTTGTTTTCCTTAGAAGCTGCAGTTTGTATAACCCCCTTTTTGATGTGTTACTGGAAGATCTTCTTAGCCAAGCATTGACCAAATCTCCGAATATGGCAATCCTATTTGATATTATTACATCTTTAAATTGATGAAAATATGAAGCTAATAGACCAAATCTCAAATAGCTAATGCATGGAATTGTTACTGTCATTTCATATGGTACCTTATAGGAGTGCAACTTGGGCTGGTTAGGGTCAGGATTTTTTCAAAATTTCAATGGACCCGACCCAAAACCCAAGCCTGAAACAGTGCAAAATGTTAACTCGGGCCAACCCTAGTTGCACCCTACATGCCCCTATGTCACTCTATCTTTAAATGTATTTTTGCTTTCTACTCTTTCTAGCATCACTATATGATTTTCTTTTGTTATGTTGCTCTGCAGAATGTTATTTAGTCATACTAATTACTAGCTAATAGACAAAAAGAATAAAGGGAAAAAAGAAGGCCTTTTTGTAGTTGATCTAGAGTCTGATTTTGTATGAGTACTGTTAGGTGGACTTGGCGATGTTGCTGGGGCTTTACCGAAGGCTTTGGCTCGGCGTGGACATAGAGTTATGGTAATTTTATTTTATATTCCATGTGATGCTTGAAATGAGATTCCTGCAGTAAAGTAATAAAAGGGCCTACTTTATTGCCAGTGTTTCACATGATGACCATATGAGATTATTGGAGTAAATAAGAAACAGACCTATTTTTTACCCAATTAAATATGTCAAAAAAAAAAAAACTGGTTGAGTCAGTCAGTTTAAAGCCTTTTTTTTTACCTTCATGCAAACTCAGATATGGTGACTGGACACCAAATCCTGGATATCCATAATGTGACATGACAAGTTCCAGGATAGAAATGTTCTGACATGCTTGTGTACTTGATGTTGTCTGGATACTTGTAAATTATAATTTTTCATAGTCACCTTATCCCATTTGAATAAAATGGTTATTGTTCTTAGCATTTTTGGAAATCTAGAGACTTGATATTCAAATGGTTAAATTTATAGGACCCACCAACTTTAGTTTCTAACCATTGAGCTTCAAGTCTGGTAACTTTAGTTCTTGGAAGTTAGGGCAATTAAGAATTAACAAATTCCTTGTTGAGTTGAACTGGAATGAAGTGCATTTTACTTATTTACTTTTATTTATTTTTCTTGCTTCAGGTTGTGGCACCACGGTATGGTAACTATGCAGAAGTCCAAGAAACAGGAGTGCGCAAGAGATATAAGGTGGATGGGCAGGTATGCTTCAACATTATTTGGCTATTAGTTTTCCTTCTTCTGGGGTTGTAGATTTTTAATTAACTCCAGTGACATTACAATTGTGTGGAACCATTCAATTTTGCAGGATATGGAGGTAACTTTCTTTCAAGCTTATATTGATGGCGTGGATTTTGTGTTCATGGACAGCCCTATGTTTCGCAATATTGAGAAAAATATATATGGGGGAGGCCGAGAGGTAAGAATTACATATCTTATTCATAGTTCAGGTTCTTGGTGTGACATAGGGCCTGTTCGTTTCCTCTTAACTCTCATCTCTTAAGAGGGATCTTTTAACTTTAAGAGAAAATTGGTTGTTCGTTTCCTCTTATCTCTTATCTCTTAAAGTGCAATCATACAACTTTTTGTTTTCCAATGATACCCCCAAAAAGACTAACAAAAACTCTCATATATGGGGTCAAAATTGATATTTGATAGTTTTCAGAATTCAGAACAACATTCTCTGCATTCAGAGTTCAGAGGAAAGAAAAGTTCACCAGTACCAATGTACTTCTTAATGCAATTATTACACTTTCAGATGTCAGACTTCAGAGCAAACGAATAGGCCCATAGTTTTAAAATATATGCCATATTTGTCCTATCACTTTTAAACTTTTTCAGTGAACATGTTTTCTAATTTCGCATGGGATGCAGGATATTTTAAAACGCATGGTTCTCTTCTGTAAGGCTGCTCTTGAGGTATGACTTCTGACCATAGCATACCACACTCTTGAAGCAATATTGATTTTATTGAATATGGAATCCTTCTTGGCATACATGTCAACCCTCACAAACCTGCTTGGAAATGAGTTTGTGCATTTTTTTAGTGAGTGCATGAATTAATACATTTCCTGATATTCACTAAGAACATTACTGTATGCAATACATCTATTCATTGACAAAATGACAAGGATTTGTTGCTATATTTCTACCATAAATATGTGATTCTAAAACAAAAGCTGGTACATTCTTACTAGAATTTGATGAAATTGGCATCCTTATCTTCCCTTCTGCCATTTGAAGAAATGAAGCTAATTGTTTTCAGGTTCCTTGGCATGTTCCATGTGGTGGGGTCTGCTATGGAGATGGAAATTTGGTTTTCATTGCAAATGATTGGCACACTGCTTTGCTACCAGTCTATCTGAAGGCATACTACCGTGACAATGGTATAATGAAATATACCCGGTGCGTTCTTGTGATCCACAACATAGCACACCAGGTTTGTTCTCATTTGTATTGTTTTTTCTTTTTCTTTTCCGTTTCCTTACATTGAACAGTCATTGTTAGAGCTGCAAACAGATCAGATCAAATTCAGATAGGGGTATATCCGAATCCAATCCGCTAAGAATCTATGACCCAAACTCAATCTGATATCTAATGGATTAGCAAAGCATAGATTCATATTTGATTTTTAAGTATTTGGATATCTGATCCAAATCTGATTTGATTAAAATGATGGAAAATCTATTTAAAATTAACATGAATTAAAAAAAAGTAAATATAAACAAGAAATATGTGTTATAAATAAGAAAATAAATTATGCAAGTCCCAAATCCAACTTAATTCTAAAGAATTTCAATACTAAGAAATAATGTTTTGTGTGTGTGTGTGTGTGTTTGCGCATAAGCATATCTGGGGCTGCAACATGGGCCAAGTTAGTTTGTACAGAACCTGAAAAAAGTTGGTTGGGTTGGTGATTGGGTTAGGGTTAGGGTTGACTTTTTCTAACACAACTTCACTTTGGGTTGGGTTAAGGTTGACCCCTCAGGTAGCCCAACCCAACCCGAACCACACTCTACCTTAACTCTTGTACATAGATTAAAAGAAGATCAAAGGGAATTGAGAGATTTTATCATATTTTAAGAGGATGGGAGAACCCAAGCCAAACAACCCAACCAGAAGTCGGCTTTCAGTTTGGTTAGGGTTGAAGGATTGTAGATTGAGTTATGGTTGACTAGGTCAGGTTGAAGGTTGGGATGCTGGTTTGTGTTAGAGTTAGGGTTGGGGGTTCAGAACCTTGGGTTGGACTAGGGTTGACCTCAACCCAACATAACTTTGACCAACTTGCACCCATAAACAGATCAGATCTTAGTGGATCTAATCAAGCAATATCAAAATTAATAAAGGGATCATGTCTCATAGAAAAAGATAAGAGGTCTGCCATCCCCAAATGTACAGGGTAGGTGGGGGATAGAATAACAGCACTAAGCTGGCCATATTATGATAATGAATAAAGACCGTGGGATTGCTTTTTTTTTAACCCTTTGCATTGGGGCTTTACTTTACATAGGCTTAGTAGATCCATACTCAGAAGTTAGGGCAAACTATTAAGCTGACTAGGTTGATCAGCTCTTTTTGGGTCAGGTTTTGATTCCAGCTGGGAAATATATGATTTTAACCCATCCTATTTAGTAATCAGGTCATGGACCTGGGAGGACTAAATGCTAACTCATTATTGATCTGGTTAGGCCAGCTTTTGTTGAAGAATGCCAACCTTCAGCCTATCTTGTTTGATAATCCTTCTGGGATAAGAGAAATTTAAACCAAAAGAAAAGTTTGAGTTGAAAGGAAATAATGGTCATGTTAGTTGTTTTTTTTTCCTTATCTTTTCTTTTCCTTTCTGTTCATTCTCATGGAGGCAGTCAGAGTGAATGGGTGAAATATTGGTACGTCTGGTCAAGAATTACTAGTCCTAGTTTTCATTTTGGAGAACTTAAAAAATAAAACTAATTTTTACTTAAATTAATCAAGAAAATATAGTTTATTTATGCTATGTATCAGAATCCTTCAATTGTAATTCTATCTAATTTTTGGAAAGAAGAATCTAAATATCCAATCACCATATTTTTGATTTCTATACCTTTTTCCATAATAAGGTATTCATCATCATTCTAAGCCTTATCCTAACTATATGGGGTCGGCTACATAATCCTGTTTTGCCATTCTGTTTTGTTAAGTGCCATATCCATTGTAAAATTTTGAGCCCTTAAATCTTTTCTTATTACCTCAATCCATGTCATTTTGTTTGCCCCTAACTCTTCTAGCTTCTTCACTTGTAACAGATCGCTTCTTCTAAAAGGTGCTGTGGATGGTCTTCTATGCACATTGTCAAACCATTGCAATCAACTTTCCCTCATTTTATTTTCTATTTGAGATAATAGATAACATCGAATGAGTTCATTTCTTAGTCTCTGACCCCACCCTTTCTAGTTTTTCCACTCATCCATCTCAACATTTGCATCTTTCCAAGTTTCCATAATAAGGTATTATCAGCTTATAAACTAAAAGCTTGATAGATTCAATGAGAGCCCATTTCAAATTTGAAACCTGAGTCAGTTGAAGTGTCTATCAGATGAGGCAAACATATTTGTGCATACACAGAAATATAACGTATATATAAATGACCAAGTCTTTATGCTGCAGATATAGAGGAATTTAGATTTATAGAATTTGATAAACTTTCTTACTAGAAAATGGCAAAAAAAAATCAATCAAGTATTTATTGTATCTAAAACTGGAGTATATGAGGTGCTTATTTTTAGACCTCAATCTGCATTACTGTGCCATGAGTCAAGTTGGATATGTTCTTACATAAGGAGCCTTTTCCAATATGGTATTGATCCATATTTCTCATCCAGGGTCGTGGTCCAATAAGCGATTTTCGTTATGTGGATCTTCCACAAAACTACATAGATCATTTCAAACTACATGACCCAGTAGGTGGGGAACACTTCAATATCTTTGCAGCTGGCCTGAAAGCAGCAGATCGTATAGTCACTGTAAGCCATGGTTATGCCTGGGAGCTGAAAACTAAAGAAGGTGGCTGGGGTCTGCATCAAATAATAAATGAGTGTGATTGGAAGCTGAAGGGCATCGTGAATGGGATTGATGCAAAAGAATGGAACCCACAGTTGGATGTTCACCTGGCATCTGATGGCTACACCAATTACTTTGTGGAGACTCTTCAGACTAGCAAGCCTCAATGCAAAGCAGCTCTACAAAGGGAGCTTGGTCTTCCTCTTCGGGAGAATGTTCCTCTGATTGGGTTCATTGGCAGGCTTGACCATCAGAAAGGTGTTGATCTCATTGCTGAGTCCATTCCTTGGATGGTGGACCAGGATGTGCAACTAGTCATGTTGGGCACTGGGAGACCTGACCTGGAACAGCTTCTCAGACATTTTGAGAGCCAACACCATGACAAAGTCAGGGGTTGGGTTGGTTTCTCTGTGAAAATGGCTCATCGAATAACTGCTGGTGCAGACATCCTACTCATGCCTTCTAGATTTGAGCCATGTGGACTGAACCAGCTTTATGCAATGAGCTACGGGACAGTCCCTGTTGTTCATGCTGTTGGTGGACTGAGAGATAGTGTGCAGCCGTTTGATCCATTCAATGAATCTGGATTTGGCTGGACGTTTGACAGGGCTGAAGCAATTAAGCTGATACATGCATTGGGGAACTGCTTACTAACTTACCGGGAGTACAAGAAAAGCTGGGAGGGGATCCAGAGACGTGGAATGATGCAAGACCTAACCTGGGACCGTGCTGCTCAAAATTATGAGGAAGTTCTGGTTTCTGCAAAGTATCACTGGTGATTCATTCAACATAAGGAGTTCAGCTTTTTAGATTTTCTAACTTTGTCTTTGAGGTCAATGCATGTATCTGGAGCCATCTATGCTTGGAGGCCTCATGCTTTCTTTTATTAGTAAATGCTGTCTATTTCTTTCTCTTCCTGTTCTAGAAATAACTTCAAGGGGAGAGCATCTCCTCTGCTAGATCTCTAGGGCCATTAACTGAGTTTAAAGTTTAAATACCCAATGAAAATCCAGTTTTTCTTTCTGGTTTATGTAAGGGTAAGCAACTTTAGTTATTAAAAAAAAGGGTAAGCAACCTTGTTAGAAATCTATACCCTGCAATTTATTCATGCATTCAAATTCCTACCACTGGAATACGCCATTTATGAATAGGATAGTCTTTACTAATAAATAGAAAAAAAGATCGACTTCTTGCCAGAGACATATTACAGGCTCAGCTTAAAGGATGATTCTTATTAATATTTAACTAAATGAATAATTATTTCCTACCAATGAGTGTGCCATCTCATCACTCCTTCAGATGGATCTTCATGATACGTGTTCTGCTATAGTCAGTCATAATATTGGGTTGTGATACTGTTTTCTGTCTCACTCATAAGCAAAGGAAAGATGGAAAAATATTGCTCTTACACTGTATGTTTGTCCCTAGGTTAAAGATATCGATACGTATCTCATGGTATCATGCCCATGCATATCATATTGGTATCAGAGATCACAAAAACGTGAAATACTGAGAGTTAGGGGATATTAACAACTTCAACTTAACGTTTTAAACCTTGCTATTTATTAATGACTTTGTTAATGACAATGGAGAATATTCAGAAAAACACAAAAATTAAAATAACGGTACAAGTTTTCCCATTGAAGTTGATGAGATTCCTAACTTCTCGCTACGAGATAGGGGTGCAATTTGGGCGGGCCCAACCTGAGCCCAAACTGGCCCAGCTCGAAAATTTACATAGGCTGGGCTTGAATTTTTGGTCCTCGGGCTGGGTTTGGGCCCAAAAAATAGATTTTTTGGGCCAGGCCTGGGCCTAGCCCTTAGGTAGCTCAAACCCGGCCAACTATACACATGTATACATATTTACCTAGTTATATACATATTTTGCATACATATATACATAAATATATGTATACATATTTGCATAAATACATGTATATGTATATGTATATGTATATGTATATGTATATGTATATGTATATGTATATGTATATGTATATGTATGTATATGCATAATTTTAGAGTGTGTTTATTGACCAACTCAAGCCCGGCTAGGGCCCGAGCCCAATCCGAGTTCATCAAATTACAGTACAGGTTGGGAAAATTGGGCTTGGTCCGAGCTCGAGCCTTAAGCCCAAATTTTAGGCCTGGGCCCGGGTTGACCATAAACCCAGCCCAACCTACCCGATTTGCACCCCTACTACGAGACTGACTATAGCAACAACATGGTGCTACAAGCGATGTGCAAATGGTGAATGGAGCATCAAGAAGCCTGGAGAAGACCATGTTGTTCAAGGATCAAGAACATCATACTATTTAGAATTATATATATAGTGCTGATTTTCCTAAAATATGTGCTTTGGTGGTTTGAAAGTAGCATTGAAAGAGCACTAATTTAAAAACTCGTATCATTAATCCATCAAACAGGTAATAAATTATTGACAAGTATCATTTATCCATTTAAAGGCCCATAGTTTTAGCCATTTCTCTTAGATATTGGATTGAGTCAACACTTGTTTATTGATAAGAATCATTTATTCAGGCAACGTCCTATCTGACAGTAACATTTTCAAATAAAAAAAACGACACCATTTTTTTAGAAAACTGTGCTTCTAATCCATACATATAAAGAACCTTTTCTATACAGCATCGATGTCAAATATATACTTAAGTATTATTTGCTTTTTCAGTTTATCCTCTTTATTTTTCTTTTCAGAAAAGTTGCCAAAGTGAGTAAATTAGAATCATTTGAAGTGAAATGTTTATAAAATCAATTCAAATGCCCCCCCCACCCCCCCAACCCCATATGATGTAACCAGCAGCATCCTCCCCTCTTTTTATCATTTGCTTCTCTCTCTCTCTAGATTTGACAATGGCACACAGAAATGATAAAATTGGAGACAAACCCTATCAAAAAAACCACTCAGTAGGGGCATAGGATTGTCATCAACGCCCGCTGCGTTTTGAACTGTGCCCTATATATATGTACGTGCAATGCTCGTCTAAACCATGTCTTCTCATCTTCCTTGGCAACCAGCGTTTAGACTTTAGAGTGTGGACATCATGCTCTGGTGTAAATGAACCAAAATCTATAATGGGGAAAGAAACTCATGGCTGGTGCTTGAAATACCTTTTTGGTGTTTCCAGTGGTGGTGAGTTATGCGCTTTCCAAAGCATTTTCCTTTCTTATTGCTTTTCTCTTAAAAGTTAAAAGGGTCCATTCAAACAAGAATTTTGACAGAGTGGCACCTATCCTATTTATACTCAAAAAACTGCAACACAATGCAATCATACCAAAGTATGCCTTATAAGTTAGGTTTGTTTGAGGTATAAATACATATTTACACTATTGATTACTAAAATGTCAAAACCCCTATTCTATAAATCAATGCTCGCCCATAAATTAGCATCAATTCCGATTTTGCACCTATTTCAATTGTACTTTAGGTCAAAAAATTCTGACCCTGGTCTGTCTTTGTCTCTATTTTTTTTTTTTAATTTATTCCGTTATGATTTTGTGGTCACAACATGTTTTTCAAAAACGGACTGGACCGGACAGTCAGACTGTCAGGTTCTGGTTTTTCACAAAACTGGATTTTCCATAAAAACCGTTGATTTTGGTCAGCAAACTACTGACCCGTACGGTTAATCGTTCGAACCGTTTGAATGGTTTTGACCGGTTTTCATTTTTTTTGTCAAAATGGGCCTATCGTTCAGGTTAAATGGTCTGACCGTTTGACCCAATAACCAAACCCTTGACCGGTTACACCACTACTAGATGTTTTCTGTTTGGGTCGTTTGGATTAGTGTTTCCAATGAAAAAAAAAAGAAAAAAAACATCAATCTTCAGCCCTTTATGGATGATCATCAAATCTTGATTGGTCAATCCGAGGGCTCGCATTATCCCATAACATCAAGTTATTGTAGGGGTGGAAGAGCACTCATGTGGTGGATGTGGATCCCATTAAGTTCCTAACCCATCAAGCTATCATGTAATACCAGCTCCAGCTGCCACCTTTGTCTTCTTCTCCACACTCCACAACAACCACACCGTTATCTTATCGCTGTCAACGTCTGCTAACATCTAGGCTTGGCCTAGCTCCACGTCAAGACAAACACTCCACAATTTTTCTTTTTAATTCATATGCATATCATCACCAAATGAGAATAAGAATTTCTTTAAAACAATTTGTTCCATTCTTATTATTTTCCCACAATGAACCGTTGTCTTGTCTGTACCGAGAGGCCCCACCGACTCTACTCAATAAACAATCAATCACCACCTCGACGACCCCACTGATTTTGACTTACATATATTTTACATGCACGACTGCACATATATTTTGATTCCTAATCTCAATTATTATCTCTCACTAAATGGAAATTAGAAAATGATGAAGGAAGATTTGGCCCGACCTTGTAAATCACGCCATGTGACAAAAAACAAGTAGTTCGGCACTTAAAACAGCGTACCAAGGGTACAAACACCAACGGGAAGAGACCAGCGGTCCGAATTCCCCTCGACGAGACCGAATTCCCCTCGAGGAGACCAACTCCCTAAGAGGAGCCCGAACTCCCTACAAGGGGCCCGAACTCCCTAAGAGCTCGAACTCCCTACGAGGAGCCCGAACTCCCTACAAGGGGCCCGAACTCCTTACTTAGAGCTCGAACTCCCTACGAGGAGCCCGAACTCTCCCTTTGGTCCCGAGCCACGCAAAGCAGTGACCCGAACTGGCCCGTCTCATGACAGTTCGGGACATCCCCCCTTCCTATCCGAACTCAAGACTTCGCCTCACACACCGCTCCAAGCACTTTGCCTCCAGAGCATTGAACCACACCGTACCTAACACCAAAGGAGTCCGTATCCAGGGGCGGCGCACCTGACTGACTTGGGATCTGACGCTTGACGGCCGCACTTCAACGGCCACCTGCCACCGCCATCTCCAGTTACAGAGACGGCTTCGACAAAAAGAGCAGTGACGGTCCTGCCCCAGCAGAGGCAAGGACGCCCGAACTGGCAGAAGCACGGAAGTAATCATTCCCGACCTGACAGAAGTCTAGGAGTGAGTGCGCGAGGTGGTTATAAAAGGCTCTCCACTCCCCCAAAGAGGAGGTATGCAAACATTGCTCTATCTGGTTTTATCTTGCCTTTGAAGGATTCTAACTTGAGCTTCGGAGCCTTTACACCGGGTTCCCCCCGGAGTTTCCTCACCTCCCCTGTTTCAGGTTCCCTGCTACTCAATTCAGAGGCAAGGTCGTTGACAGCTAAGACCGACCGGATTGCGCATCATCAATTGGCGCCGTCTGTGGGAATACGCTTCAAAAAGCCTCCCTCCAAACTCTCATAACCTCTTTTCCTCAAAAAACCCAACACTCATGGCTTCTTCCAGCAACACTGGACGTGGCACGGAGACAAACACCACCGGGGAACAACTTCAAGTCCCCGTGGTGTGCGTTGGACAGTTCACCATCCCCCTTTGGGTGGATGGGATCCCCAGCTTGAATGCGCCACAAGCAGTGGCGCCCGTAAACCTTCCTGCCACGAGCATCCCCTTTCCTCCCCCTATTGAGACAACCTTTACTGAATC